AGAATGATCCAATTTGTGTAAAAACTGTGTATGTACAGGTATAGAAAATTCCTGGAGGGCAAACAAGAATTGCTATTGATTACCCTGGCGAGTAAAGCTGGAAGGGAAGTTTCTGAGAATCATCACTTTCTATTCTTAGTTTTCCTGTATTCTGTTTAAATATTTTCCAATGGGTATCTGTTATATCTTAATAATTAATTACAAATAAAAGTTGAAAAACTAAACCCTTTAGTTTAGGAGTGAAAACTGCAGGAGAAAATATGACAGCAGCTAAAGTACAAAGGGTGAAGAGGCAAAAACACTTGTATCTTTCATTAAAAAGTTATTTCAAATGAAATTGAAAATATTTCTCAGAAGTTTTCAGTGATTTCCCTGTACATAACATTCACCATACATAATTATGATTCACTCCCTGGAACTAGATGCATTGCCACCCAAGCAAAACTTGGGTTCCATTTAGCAATGAAGAAAAGCTTATGGGTGTTAGGTACTCAATCACATTGTCATAACTGCTTACATTCCTGTAATACCCAGTGCCAGTCTAATTCTTGAGCATCATCTCCTAACCTCCTCTACCTCTGTACCTCTGTTGGTATAGCCAGTGGCCTTCTTTTAGTTCCTCAAACATACCAATATCTTTCCTGACCCATGGCCCTTTACATTTGTTGTTCCCTTTTCCTGGCTATCTTTTCTATTAGTTCTTTAAAATACATTCTAGTGGTCATGCCTTCCTTTTTAGATCTGAGATCAAATTGTCATACCCTTAGAGAAGCTGACCTGTCTACTGGGTCTAAATTAGGTTCTTATTCCCTCTCCAACCTGTAGCCTTCTATGTCACCCCCTGGGTCTTTCCTTCTTAGTATTTTTCATAAGGTCCACAAGAGCATAGATTGTTTCTTGTTCACCTTGTACCTCCATTGTCCAGAACAGTACCTAGTGCATAGTAGGTACTTAATAAATATATGCTGAAAAGATGAGTAAGGAACTAATGAATAGAAACAAATATAAAAAGAAAGATATAGCATTAAATAAAGATGGAAGAGGGTAAAAAGGGAATGGAAATTGGTATATTCTGGGAGGAGGAGAAAGGGTAGATATAATAACATCAGAAGTATTCTCATTTTAACTATTGCTGACTTTGGGGCCTGAAGTTTATGCCCAGGTAAAGTGGGCACTTTTTTTAAAAAAAAAAATGTATTTTCTGTTGTTGTAAAGTGGACACTTTTTATAAGCCTTGGAACCAAATCATACTCTTCTACTTTCTTATATTGGATAATAAATATAATTCCTTGGAAATTGCTTTGGGTTATAATTAATCTACTACTCTCATGGATATAGAACTAGCCAGGAGCTCAAAGGAACATATTAGTTTTTCCTGAATGGAAATGACTTTAAAATGGAAGGATATGGACCATGTAGTCCAGAATACCCAAGGGCAGTCCTTGTGGAAGGGTTTATATGGTGTGGTTAAGTAACTGTTGAGCCTACAAATGCCAGTGAGGCAAAGCAGAAGCTAAAGAGTAACATATGAGTTTGACTCATGAACTCTAATAAAGTTTGTGAAATGTATCCCATATGTGGGCCCAGATCCCAAATGACTTAAAGATTGTTAAAAGTTGTTCAATTGCAATTTAATTCCTTCCTTGGAAGCATTCCTGATACTTGGAGGAAATTCTAGAGGTGTACATATACTTAATGAAATACTACTCAAATTACTAGCTCCTGTTTTGGACATTCACACAGAGACCACTATTCTTATAATACAGTGCTTCTGTTTTTCCTTAAGGGTTCCTGCTGAATTACTTTACACCATAATAATTTTCTTATCTGCATTTTGGGTGAATAAATCCATCATATTTTTCTCTTTAAGTGTATATGGACTTGTATTGAAGGGAATTTCATAGAGATGCCACCAAGAATTCTTTTGATGGGCTATTTTAGGACAGAAGGAGATCCGCATAAGGATATGATTTCTTAAGTATGTGTTAAATATTTTAAAGTTGTTATTATGAATATTTTTAAATACACAAAACTATAGAATAATAGTAAACTTCAGATTAACCCAGATGAACAATTATCAAGATATTGCTACATTTTCTTTATCCATTCCTTTTGTTCATTTCCTAGGATATTTGAAAACAAATTTTAGACATTAGATCATTTCTACTATATACCTTAATATGTATCTCTAAACAATGTTGATATTTGTCTTATATAAACACAAGGACATTATCATACCTATTAACTAGCATTATCATACCTATTGTTATTATTTAATACCCAAACCATAATAAAATTTTCTTGATGGTCTCAAATATTCTATTTAAGTTGGTTTTTTTGAATCAGGGTGCCAACAAAGTCCACATATTACATTTGGTTGTCAGTTCATCTTAAGTAACTTTTCATCTAAAGCATTTCCCCTTCCCTGCTTCCTTTGTTTTTCAATGTCATTGACTTATTGCAGATTAATTGGGTCAGTTGTCCTACAAAATGTCCCACATTCTCAATATGTCTGTTTGCTTCCTTGTGTCACTAACAAGTTTCTCTATCCCCCAGATTTCCTTTAAGTGAAGTTAGCTCTAGAACAACTCCGCTCAATAGAAGTTTCCGTGATGATGGAAATAATTCTTCTTGCCTTATCCAATACAATAGCCCCTAGCCACACGTAGCCATTGAACACTTTATAATGTGACTAGTGAGCCTGGCTGGCGTGGCTCAGTGGTTGAGCATCTACTCATGAACCAGGAGGTCACAGTGTGATTCCCGGCCAGGGCACATGCCCGGTGTCCAGGTTGCAGGCTCGATCCCCAGTGTGGGGCATACAGGAGGCAGCCAGTCAATGATTCTCTCTCATCATTGATGTTTCTATCTTTCCCTCTCCCTTCCTCTCTGAAATCAATAAAGATATATTTTTTAAAAATGTGACTAGTGGGAGTGGGGAGTGAGGAATTGAATTTTAAATTTAGTTTTAGTTCATTTAAATTTAAATATATGTATTTAAATATATATATTTGTAATCATGAGATTCCACCTTGTCACCTTGTCAGGGAGAGTGGCCTGTGTGGGATATGTAAATCTGTGTGCCTATGCTAATCCATACACACAGTGGATGAAATCCTAGATAAAGAGTATTGTGAGGAAAGGAAAGGATCTAGAAATGTTGCTTAGGATGAACAGAGACAGAGGATGAATAGCCAAAGAGTTGGAGGGAAACCAGAAGAGGGCTACGTCCTAGAAGCCAAGCAAGAAGAGCCCAGTTTTATCCAGGAGAGTTCAGTGAAGCAAGGAGAGTCCAGTTAAGTATAGGAAGAACATAAGATGGGACATAAGTGTCTCTAGGATGTCTATGTTACAGGAACAGTGACATGGCAGGGTACACCTGGATTCAAGTGTGGCTGCTTCCCTTTAGCTGTGTGGCCTTGGGCAAAAGGCCATCTGATCTCATTCTACAGATTCTGCATCTATAAAATAGGGATAACAACATCTTCCTCAAAGAGTTATTGTGGGGGTTACATGAATGATGCATATGCGATGTGTCTAGCACTTTGTAGGTTCTCAATAAAGATGGATTCCTCCCATTTTGTCTCTCCCCACTTATTCCTTTGTTTGATTCTCACTCTCCTTGATGTCTTAGCTTTGGTGTTGGTGGTGACTCACTGGTAAGGGTCAACACATCCATTCCTCATATATCACTGTACTAGTCTGGGTGCCAGCAAGCTGTTATGAGCTGACAAATCAGTGCTCTGGATACTGTCGGGAGCCAACCACCCACTTATGTACCTCTTGATATGTAGACAGAGCACCCAGGATTGGATAAGGACACAAAATACCCTTCTTCATCATACTCAGTTTTTCCCGTCCAGGGAAAGGAACTCCAACTACCAAATGAATACCTAATTTTTGTCTCAAGACATCTTTTTGCACTTGCATTTTGCATTTATATAAATTGCCAATACAAAATATTAATAATAAATGACTCATCACAAATTTTTTGAGTCAGCATTGGCCCTACCAGATTTTTCCAATTTGCTAGAAACAGCCACTCCATTTTTATTTGTTAAATACAGTGAAGGGCGGGGGGGGGGGGGGGGGGGGGGGGGGGAGGAAATGCAATTTTCCCTACTGGTTAATAACTCTTGCCCTGTCTGCCACCATTGACGGTTTTTGCAGTGTAAGCCTGGTTTTGGCAACTACAGTAACTACCCATTGGGAGATAATATAATTCATTGCTTGCATTAGGTTAACTAAACCCCCAAAAGAGAGACTGACAATTTCTATTGTGGCTAAAGCAGGATATCTAACATTTAAAAAAGCTATTAAAAAATTATCCTTGTATTTCTAAAAAGCACATGTTGAATTTCTTATTGACAGTGTGTGCTTTGCGGACCAAACATGAGGACATAACATTTCATAAACAAGAGAGTACCTTTAGGGACAGGCTACTATGTTAACTGAAACTCCCACACAAACACCCCGACAGGGGCCAGGAACGAATTTGCAACCCAGATAAGTGCCCTTGACCCGGAATCTAACCGACGACATTACGGTGCACGTGCCCACGCTCATCGGCCAGGGCCACATTCATTTTTAGACGGACACTGTCAACATTTGGTGTAATGGGAACCAGGGCTCTTAGCATCTCGCCACCCGGCTACCATCTCAGTACCTGGTCGTTCTCCCCCTTCAGCGCACAGTTTGGCAAGCGGACCGTGGGACCGCGCTTCCCTAGCGGAGCATTGAAGACGTGTACGCCTGCGCCTTAGACCTCGCTGGCGTTCTAAGGTGGAAGGGCGCGCGTTTGAGTTTCCATGGCAACGCGACGCTTCCGCCTTCTGGAAGCCTTAGCTCCAGCTCCGGCTGTGTGAGACCCGTCCGGGTGGGAGGGGACCTGGGCACTGGGGAACAGATGGGGTAGGAGGGGGTGGGAGCTGGGGACATTTGCTCCAGGGATTGAACTAAACTAAGAAAGATCTGTCCTAGGCTCAACGTGAAAGGATCTTTTCATCCCGGTCCTTTCGCCCACGCAGGGAACGATGCCTCTGGAAGTGGTGGTGGAGTTGCAGATCCGGGCGGTAAGAAAGATCAACGAACCTTCCTCTCCTTGCGCCCAAGTCATACTCTTTCCCCAGGTTCTGAAAGGGTCCCTGGTCATTCTCACCACACCCTCTCATTCACCACACAGACATCATTATCTTTTGGAACAAACAGTACTCTGTCCCTACGATTTTCTACACTGGTCTTCCCAGACCTCCTAACCTTTACTTCAGTTCAACCTCTTCCCACTTTCCTCCCGCTTAAAGCCAACTTGTTTCTAGCTCTATCCTGAAATGTTCTGTTCTTTAAAAATAACCCTGTATTAAGTCCAAGGAGGATTTTCTTTTCTTTTGCAGGATAAAGATTTGGGAAAGGTTTAAAACCCTCTTTTAAATAACCAGGTTAGAATTTTATTTCATAAAGCCTCATTACTTCCTGATAATTTTTCACTTCTAGGAACCAATAAAATATTTAAAAGCTATTTCCCCTATTAGCTCTGGTTTGCTAATTCCAAAGGGGAAATCAATCAACTGTCTTATAATTATCCACTGAATCTTGCTTAAGTGAGATACTGTGGCAGAGTGACTCCACTGTTCCTATTTGGGCCAGTCATTCCTCTTATTTCAGTTCCCATTTTCCAGTCCTTCCATCTGTAGTGACAGGCTGTCCTGCAGCTTTGCCTCCTAACTGTAGGGGCTTCTCTCCTGGCCATGATTACAAGCAAACATGCCACACAGGTTATGGCTAGGGAAAATATGGTTAGTCTCTATACAATTGACAAATGCAGTTTCATTATACACACAACTACAAAATAAAGAGCAGAATTTCCTGGATGTTCCACTTTGACAGCAAATAGAACCAGGCTATATCAGCCGTGCAATATCAATTGCAAGCTCTCAAAATGTGTAGTAGTAAGGTGAAGGAATTCTTGAGAAGGTGAGTGATCAATCAGTCTTCCTCTTCATCAAGGCAAAAATGACACACTCATTTCATTCAATATTATTGGTTAATTTTATTTTCATTTTTAAAAGGCATTCCTCAGTATACAATTAATTAACAGTGAAATCAGTTAATTTGGTTGTCAGTTCATATATGTACTCCTTAGGGTTAGGGTTAGGGTTAGGGTTAGGGTTAGGGTTAGGGTTAGGGTTAGGGTTAGGGTTAGGGTAAGTACTCCACATATCAGTAACAGCCCAGTACTCTACAGTACTTAGGATCCTCCAAAAACAGGGTGAATTGATCTGTGCTTTAAAGCCAGCAAACTAGGCCCTAGCAACTAAGATAGGGAACTCCAGAACTATATATAGCCAGTAACCAGAAGGTAAACCTAATTTTGAGCCTCTAATATTCAGGTTTGTGAACACCGTAAGAAATGTCATGCTTCCAAATATCTGGCCTGAATATTGTTACCATTAAAATAAAGGATCTAAGATTAAATGATAAAGCAAACTACTTACTGCTTCAGTTTGACTCTGCAAGTGAAGAGGTAGTCTGTGTTCAGGAAGTTGTGGGAATGAAAATGATTTTATTTGAAAAAGCTACTCTCTTATCTTGAAGAGTAGCTATTCCTCTCTCAGTGTGCCTCCCACTCAGAAAATTTGTTTCCACCCATCATAGCCTACTTGTCACAGCCATTCTCCAGATTCCTATGTGCACCTCTCCTAGTTTATGACAGATCAAAGGTTATAATCCATTCTATTTATAAATGTCAAAATAACTTGTCAAAAGTTTTTAACTTAAAGGTTCTTAATTTTTAGGCAGAGAGGCATTTAAAGCTTACCCTTTCAGTTTTTCATGGTCAAAGAATAATGAGCAGCGTCCACTATACATTTGGTGGTCTTTGTTCTTGTGATTTGGGGGAGGCACCATGAATAAACTGCTTTAAATGTAAAGGCCAATGTAAATGTAAATTTAGGAGTTAGTTGTACCTTGTATAGCAGCAGACTCCCCTGATTAATTTCAAATGAAATACTGTTACTTAAAGTGTGCTGTGTACAGGGAAACAGAATTCCATATGAAAAAGTATTAATACACAAGGTCATCCTTGTGGTATAGATGAAAAAGCTCACACTTTTGCATTGCAAAGAGTCACATTATTTTCCCATTTTATTAACTCAGTGGAGGGCATTTTTTTTGTTTTTAATTCAGTAGAGATGACAGGTAGCAGGGCCCCATATCCTATCATACTGGTCCATTGACATATTAGTAGTATGTGGTTAGCTACCCCCAAACTCTCAGTTTCTCTGACCTCCTCAGTAGCTTATCTTTTCTGCGTAAGGCCATTGTTCTATCCTCCCTTTTTTTCTAGAGACTATAGGTATGTCCATCTTTCAGTGTATCTTCTTCAAGTAAGTTCTTGGCTTGTTCTCTGAATGCTAAAAGATAATATTAGAGAATAGTGGGAACTAAATATAAATTTAAAGACCTTTTGAAGAGGTAAAAGAAAGTTATGTACTATAATCTCTCTTCTCACTACCAAGTCCACAAAGATGGAAGAGACAATAAACTAAAAATGCTTACCAAGAAAATCAAGATTAAGAGGAAATCTCCCCAGCTGTGATAACAGATCTTCAGAGAATAAACTAGAAAAAGCTATGTCTTAGACTCTTAAATAACTAAGAACTATGATTAGTATGCAGCTTATCTGCCTGTATATTTACAGAATGAAGATCCTTTTTTTCCCCCCCAAAGTTCAGTTCACAAGTGATATACTGACGTATAGGATCACTACAAAATACAATTTTTCTGATGTCAATTTTGAAAAAACAGCAACATTACAATCACCCCAGCTTGATTTCTTTGCAGTTGTCCTGGAGATACAAACAGTTGTTGAATGTATAACAGTGGGATTTTTCTTTCTTTCTGTAATATGGCCCTGATCAGTAATGGCCAGCATGTGGCTTCAGCCTAGCAACCCATCAAGAGGGGCACCTAAAATTCCAAAGGAAGCCTGAAATGTCCTAAGAGGGACAAGCGGTATGGCTGCTGGTTTATGTCAGCATGATCGCATGTGGAAACATCTAGATCTCCTGGTGCCATAATGAATAAGACGGTGTCATTGTTGGTTCCACAGTACAAAGAGGACTGGAGCATTGTGCGGTGACAGCCAGCAGTAGTCCACGATGCTATACTGCATGTAGCCCAGAAAAAAGCCAAAAGCCACGTCGGTGACATTGTGTCGCCCCAGCATGACCCTGGAGAGGCCCAAGATGAAGGCCCACAATACCACCAGCACCCTCAGTGGAATGGCCAACACCAGGTGGTTCAAGATGAACCGCGACACCAGGGCGGCCCTGGTGGCATGTCCCGAGGGAAAGGAGTACTTGTCCACCGAGAGGGTGACAAACATGTCCATCTGGTTGTGGGCTGGGCGACGCCTGCGGACCAGCCCCTTGAGCAGGGCCACCAGCAGCAGGTCCAAAAGCAGAGCAAAGAGCAGGTTCATCAGCACCTCGCGCCCGGCCCAGCTGTCGCTCCTGGACAGGCAGTAGAGGGTGCCCAGCAGCCAGGGGATGCCGTGTCCCGAGATCTCCAGCAGCTTCATAAGGGGCCGCACGCTGCCCCAGGACGAGCTCTCCCCCGCGCACACCCCCAGCTTCTTGGACAGCCACAGGTCGATGGCCAGCAGGGAGCGCAGGGCGATGCCCAGGAAGGACGGGTTCAGGTCGATGCGGTCCTCCTCGGGCAGCGGGGGCGGGGGCGCCTGCGAGGGGACGGCCCCCGCCAGCGGGAAGGAGCCGCGCCGGTGCACCGGGCTCTCGGACACGCGGAGCCGGGCGCAGGTGGGGTCCGCGCCCGCCGCGCGGCTGCCGAGCAGGGACTGGAACTCGAACCTGCCGCCGCCGTGGGCCGGGCTGCTGGGGCTGCTGCTGCTGCTGCTCGAGGCAGAGGCGCCCAGGGCGCGAACCTCCACGTTCCTCCGGGGGCTCGGCATCGCGGCGGGCGGCCCGGACCCCAGGACCCAGACGGCCTCCGGACAGGCTCCCCGGCCCTGCAGCCTCTTCCGCTTCCGCACTGCTATCCCGGAGGGGCGGGGAGAGGAAGGCGCGAGAGGACGATTGTGACACCTGGCGGAGACGTGGGATGAAACTGGAATTCCAATTTGCAGAAGAGGAGGCGTGGGAGGGTGTTGTGGGGGTACCTATCCGGGGGTGCGGTAGTGGGGGGACTTTGACATTGTCTGTGGTTGGTTAGGGAAAATAGAGTCCCGTTTAAAAACAAACCAACCCTGTTCTCTATTTTTTTTTCTTTTTAAGATTTCCTGCCCAGGGGTGTTCCTTCCTGACAAGCAAGATGTGTACCTTGGGGTTTACCTCCTGAATCAGTACCTGGAGACAAACTGCTTTCCCTCTGTGTTCCCTATTATGATTCAGCAGAGGATGAGATTTCAAAAGGTGATCTTGACTTTCTCACTGCTAAATAGACATTTAAATGTTGCTGTCTGAAGATCATGTAGTGGTTCTCACAAAGGACACAGTTCTTATAAAGTTATTTTGTAAATTTCCTTTTAAAACATGCTAGAAGGCCCCTGAGCACAGGGCAGAACCGTTAGTTGGAAGACTTGCTTTTGCAGCCCAGGTCAGAGCCAAGTTCTGTCAACCTAGTGCTAAACACCCTGGTCAATGACGTTTTCTATTCTGGGAACTCCCATGGCATTTTCTAACTGGAGCAGAGAGAGCAGTTTCTGAATGTTCTTGGAGATGTTAGAGGCGGTTGCATTACATTTACGACAGGGATAATCAATAAACTAGTGGACCTTAGAAACAAACTTTTTTTAAACTCAAAAAAATGATGAAAAACTATAACCAAATTAGTTATATCCTGTATCTGAAATCGTATAACAAAACAAAAAGGCTCCTCAGACTTGAGTTTTCTTAGGCCATACCTGGTTTATTTATGATTATGATATAAACTAGAGGCCCGGTGCATGAAATTTGTACAGGGGGGTGTCCCTCAGCCCGGCCTGCACCCTCTCGCAATCTGGGACCCCTCGGGGATGTTTAAGCCCAATCTCTGCAGCCTAACCAGCAGTCGGACATCCCACTCACAGTCCAGGACTGCTGGCTCCTAACTGCTCGCCTGCCTGATCACCCCTAACCTCCTCTGCCTCGGCCTCCACCTAGGCAGCTTCCTCTGGAAGGATGTCCGGAAGGTTGTTGGCTGTCCGGTCTAATTAGCATATTATGTTTTTATTATTATAGTCAAAAACATTACCAATCTTTTCCCCACTTTGAAATATTAATTTTATTACTACACAATCACAGTCCTTTGAAGTTTTTGTTTTGGAATTTGGAAATTAATCAATCTGATTCTTTGAACCTTGATAAATCTGATGATTTTGCCCCAAACAATATCACTGAGGTGGTTCTTTGGGGGAAGAGGATGAGTATGGGAAGGCTCCAGGTAGTCTATCACTTTTAAAGGTTTGGATGGTGGTGCCCAGAAAATGACCTATTTTGACCTGAGAATACGAGAGGAGATGAGGATTGATTGCCTAAAGGGCTAGAGCTGTATGTAATATTTTAATACATTACAGTATTAATTTAAATAAAGTCTACAACACTGGTTGGATGATAGAGGAGAGGAACAAATGGATATTACCTTGGAACATACAGTTAGAATCCAAAGATGCCTACTTCTACCATTTAAATGTTAGTAGTAGTAAAAAGTGGGTGGTAGAAATCCAGTCTATTCTCCCACCCCTACCCCACCCCCCAAGAATGTCCTTATGTTATCAATTTTAAGTTTGCTTCTATAAAAGATTTTAAAAATCTTTTTTTGGTAAGAAGCCCAAGGATATAACGTCATAGAAGCACAGAGTGATAAATTTGTAAATGACTTTGAAGGTCATTTAGTCCAACCTCCTTGACTTGTAGAAGAGGCGGGTGAGCCTCAGAGTCACATTCTGGAGGCCACTATTGCTCTATTGCAGAGCTGTGCTTATGAGATTACTAGTCAGACATACCATGGAATATTTTTCATCTTATAAATTTTAATTAAATAAATGCTTTATTTTGTTTTTAAAATGCTTTACTTTAAATTTTGAAAATTGCCCTCTTGTGTGAGCGGTTTGGGTTCATACTCCAGCTTTCTTTCAGTTTGCTCCAGCTTTGGGCTGTACCTGTTCCATGCTTTTGTTGCAAGTACTTGCGTCTGTTCTATTCTCTAAATGTAAATACTTGCAGCAAGCAGAGAAAATCTTTTCTCCTTGAACCTTCTGTGTAATTCAGAATTGAATGTGCTAAAGCGTTTGGATAAACAAATTACTCTTGAAGACTGCGTGAGCCCTTGTACTTGTTGGTCACGTTCATGTTGGTCATTTACTCCCTAAGATCATACTTGAGGATATCCTTGGACATAGATGAAGTGAAGGGCTGAAGTAGTTTAGGGGAGGGAATCACCCAGATTTCCAAGTCAGTAAATCCAAGTCAGTAACACAAAAATTACAGGGGACAGCCTCATTTTTGTAGTTAAAATAGACCTAGTTTTGAATTAAGAGCAGAGTTTAACCATACTTAGGTTTAAACACTATTTCAATCAGAACTTTAAAACCTGAACTTAAACTCTGCTGAAAACTTTTTTTTATAGTGCACTAGAATTCAGGGAGAGGGACACAGCATGCCTTTTATTTCAGTCCTATCCCAGGCCCTTTTGATCTACAGGATGAACTATGCAGACTTGGCATTGGCTAGACAGGCCTCACAGTTATTTTCTTGTGCTTCGTGATACACTTAACTTACGAGGCTTTCCCTCTCTCTCATTATTTTTGAATTTTGTGGGAGTGTAGTTACTAGCACTTAGCTTTCCTTTTGTGATTCACATAGTTAGAATTTTTATTTATGTGTTGTTGTTTTTTAGCACAACCAATTCCTTGACAAGATAAGTCATTCATTCAGTTAACATTTTATGAATATCTGTGGTATGCAGATTGTGTTTTAGGTAATCATGACTCTTTGAGGTTGATGCCAGATATGCTTTTAGCAACTAACTGTAGGGCTAGGTCAAGTTGATAACATTTTGAGCATGTGGTAGATTCAGCTAACGTAGATTTTCCTGGCACTTGGTATTGTTTTACTAATTCTCATTCATTTATCCTATAGTCATTTGTTGAATTTTTAACCACATATCTGTTAAAGGTATTTCTGCTGTATCCTAAAATATTATATGGCTGAATTTGATATGTGTTAATTATTTGGAAGAATGTAATTTATAATTTCTGTAAGTATATATCAATGAAACTTCGAAAATTTATTTTTCTCATTTTTTTTTTCTCCTGTAGTTATTTGAAAATGCAATAGATCCTGGAGCTGTAGCAGACATTTTAGAAAGTAGGTACTCTCCATCCCTCCCCAACCCTCCCAAAAAAGAGAGAGACTATTACATTGTGTGTCTGTAATTCACAAATATAAAATTCTACTATTTTCTAAGTTGTGATACTTCCCTGTTTGATCTATGTTAATACTCAAGAGAACCTGTAAAATTTGAATCATGTTTTATATTTGATTACAAATTCTTTTCTAGATATAGATAGGATATACTAGAAGATACAATTCTACTTGTTTATTTTTTATTTTATTTATTTTAAAAAATAAATAACAATGTATTTAATTCCCATTTAATTCCACTGTTGAGAATTCAAAACTGGTTAATTGCCCCTAACCATGGTGCTGTTTAAATTAAATGGGAATTAAATGGACTGTTATAGCAGTTTTAAACCTAGCAATTAATGAAAAATTCTGGCAATTTTCTAAAGTATTAAAATCTAATTTTTTCTTTTTTAGGCATTTTAACCAGGTTTGAATTAATACAGCTAGTGCCTCCAGGTAATGTGCCAGTAAATGCATTTCTAAATTAGCTTTTTTTTAAATTTAAAAGGATTTTGGCATGACAAAATGAGGACTGGTATTTAAAAGTCGTCCCTTATATAATACTCACTATTTCTCACCTCCCACCCCCTCATCAGTCAGTTTCATTTTGTCCTCTTTTAGAAGAGTAACTTTATGGGTTTGGTGGTTTTATGACTTTCCATATTTTTATAACTTTAATTATTATAAAACTAGTAGTCCTGCGCACGAATCCTTGTGCCAGTAGCTCACTGCTGCCCTCCTGTAGCTCTCCGCCCGCTGCCCCAACCTCCTGTAACTTCCCCCTCCCCCCCTTCCTCCCCCTTACCCCCCACCCTCCCCTCATAGCTTGTTGTCCTGCCCCCTCCTGTAGCTCTCCGCTGCCCCCTTGTAGGTCGCTGCCCCACCCTCCTGCTGATCCGTGAGCCAGTCGTTTCGCGGTCGGTCGTTACATAACGACCATTTGCGTATTACATCTTTATTATATAGGATACTTTTTTTCCATCCTGGCTCAGCTTCTTTCAAGTTTTTGCCTTTGACTATGTTTTAATTGTGGAGTGTGTGAGTGTGTATGTACGTGAAGCCCAAAGCCATCTTCTCTACTAGTTGCTACAACAGGGTTGGCAAATCCAGCAGCACTGTTTCGTACGGCTCATGAGCTAAATCTCTACACTTTTAAAATTGAGATTTTATTCATATACTATAAAATTTACCATTTTAAATACAACTCAGTTGTTTTAGTTTGCTTACAGGGTAGTGCAAGCTAGTGATCACTGCCTAATTCCAGAAATTTTTATAACCTGGAAACAGACCCCATACTCATTAGCAGTCACTCATTATTCCTTCCTTCCCATAGCTCCTGGCCACCATTAATCTACGCTCTGTCCCTGTCACTTTGCCTGTTCTGGATATTTCATGTAAATGGAATCAGACAACATATGGTCTTTTATGTCTGGCTTCTTTCAGTTAGCATGCTTCAAAGTTTATCCATGCTATAACATATATCAGTAATTCATTCCTTTTTATGGTAGAATAATATTCTTTTATATGGATATATCACATATACAATTCTATTCTTTTATATGGATAAGTTTGCTTACCCATTCATTAGTTGATGGACACTGGGTTGTTCCTACATTTTGAACATTATGAATAATACTGCTATCAGCATTCATTAACAAGTTGTTGGGTGAGTACATGTTTTCAGGTCACTTGGGTATACACCTAGGAGTGGAGTTATTGGGTAGCTCCGTGCTTAACTTTTTAAGGAACTGCCAAACTTTCTTCAGTTGTTACATTTTTAAATGGTTGGAAAGAAATTAAAAAATACAAATATTTAGTGATGTGAAAATTTTAAAATTCAAATTTCATTGTTTATAAAGTTTTATTGGAACACATCCATGTCCATTTGTTTAAGTGTTGTTCAATGGCTGCTTTCACACTGCAGTGAGAGTTGAATAGTTATGACCATACTTAAAGCCTAAAATTTTTATTGTTCTGCCCCCCCCCAAAAAAAACCCCACAAAAAATAAAATAAAATAAAATAAAATCTTTATTGTCTAGACCTTTACAGAAAACATTTGTGACCTCTGTACTAGAATCATGGGGCTTTAGGGGGAAACGTTCTATGATGCCTTTGCTTTGTAGTATGTCTTGAATGCCTGGCAACCCGAGCTAGTGAGATAGTAGGAACTGCCATCTGGTGGCATCAGTTCTCATACATAGTCTCTCAATGTGGTTAATTACTGGTGATTTTAGAGTCGTGTGTGTGTGTGTGTGTGTGTGTGTGTGTGTGTGAGAGAGAGAGAGAGAGAGAGAGAGAGAGAGAGAGAGAATGAATATACCTAAACATTTCTAATTCTCTTCTGATCTTTGCTATTATACATTTTTGCCTTTTCCCTTCCCCCCAATGAAAGAATATTCATAGTTTTACCTTGTCATAAAAAGCATCCCCAAATGATGAGAAAACCTAGTTCTACATCGTTATTTTAAATAGCTATAAAAAGCTTCATTAATTTACTTATGTGCTTCTATAGGTCTATAAACAGTATGTAGATAACATTTTGGGTTCTGTTCTTTCATTCTGCATTGTTTGCTTGCTTGTAGTTTACTTGTTTGTCATTTTCAACAGCTATATGCTTTTCTGTAGTCATAATTGTCCTTAAATTGGTATTGTTGAGCATTTAGTTTTCTTTACCTTTCACATCTTTATAAAAATTATTTTTCCTCTTGGTATATTTGCAAAGAACAGAATTACTAGATTGAACCATGTCTTGTAACCTGGGAATAAACCAATCCCCAGCAAGTTTCCACAATTTCACTGGCAGATGCCTCAGCTAAAGCAGAGGCTTTTATGAGGATCATAGGCTTGCCTACTGTCGCTGTCCCTGGAGCAGGTCAAAGCCCTAGTGGAGTGGATCAAGAAGTCTGTAGTTCTTCCTTCTGCCTCTTGGTTCCTTAGCAGAAGCAGGCTCTGAAAACAGACAAGAACCCCACTCTCCATGGATCTAGAGATAGACACTCTTGTTAATGTCATTTACTTTCTTAGGTAGGCACAACAGAGGGAAGATCAGAAATATCTCCTACCTTCTTTTCAGAAATTCTCACTGAGCACTTTTCAGCCTAAAAGTGACAGGCCAAAATCAGGGCATTGAGGTGTGTTTTCTTCCCCCCCATAAGATTTTTTTCTTATTTGACCTAATTTTATGTTGAGACATAAATCTGCTAACTGACAAGTTATATTTTAGTGTGCTAGTAAAATAGAAGCAGGCCCATTTTAGTCTTATTCAATTTTACATGAATTGAAAAATTACCCAGTACTTAATATTCTCACTATAAAATGTTTAATTAACACGAATCCTATATAATAAAAGGCTAATATGCAAATAGACTGAATGGCTGAAGGAGTGGTTGCTATGACACGCACTAACCACCAGGGGCAGCCGCTTGACACAGAAGCTGCCCCCTGGTGGTCAGTGAGCTTCCACAGGGGGAGTGCTGCTCAGCCAGAAGCCAGGCTCACCACTGGTGAGTGCAGCTGCCAACTGCTGGCTTAGGCCCTCTCCCCAGAGGGAGTGGGCCTAAGCTGTCAGTAGGACATCCCCCGAGGGTTCCTGGATTGCAAGAGGGCACAAGCCGGGCTGAGGGACCCCCGGCTCCCCAGTGGAAGAATTTCATGCACCGGGCCTCTAGTTTTGTAAAATAAAAAGCAAAAAGCCACAGCCATCAACAACCCCTGAAAATAATTACTATTAACAATTTGTTGTGTATCTTTTTAGGTCTTTAAGATATATTTAGCATATATAATGCATTTAGTATATTCAAACACCCTAAAATAATACATATATACACATATGTGCATATATATGTATGTAAATATGTATACACACACATATACTAAATGTATCCAGTATTTATGATATGTATATTTAGTGTTACATTTTGGTTGAATATATATATTCTGCAACTTGCTTTATAAAATTTAATATATTTTAGACTGCCATATGTTTTTCATATGACCAGAAATCCATCTGTGGGAAGGTTGCAAGAATTGTTTAAAACTATGATGATTGGAGAATATTGAAGCTGGGCATATGCATACTGTTATAACTCAAAAGTTAATCAGATACAAAATGGAGGCTTTATTATATACTTGTTTTCCTTTTGTCTACATTCTCTCAATTGCAGAGTGCAATTAAATTTGAATTGCTCAAAATAACAATTTTACCCAGTTTCAGTTGTATTACAGACTGATCCATTACTTTGTCCAACGTATGTTTATTGAGGGTATATATGCCCTACACTATGCCACTTCCTGGTATCACGCAGGTGGCACCAGTCAGAGTGGCAATGATAAATCCTCTTGATCTGCTAGTCCCTGATGCTAGATAATTATGTAAAAATGATTTGCTTGAAGTCTCGCGTGGACTGTACCACGTGGTCACATGAGCCACATTTGGTTTTACAGGGACCAGTTCTTCATTGGCTGAATAGTTACCTTTTCATTTTGCTGTATATATTACTTTACTGTTTTATACTTTTTCATGTTGTTTTCAAACACACTTATTATAGTCAGAAGACAGATTACGATAATTAAACTAATGATACAGGTACCTCAGATGTGTATACAGCTTTGCTGCTAAGGAAAGAAGAGGTCCAATGATTTGGCTTAGGAGCAATAGACTCCTCCCTGGTTCTTCAGTTTACAAAGATGGGAAAAAGTGAATGAACACAGGGGGGCAGCATAATCCTGGTTGACAGTGAGCTTGGTGCTTTTATTGACTCAAAACCTCTACTTTGGAATGTGTCATATATATTCAGCCCAGCTGTAAAATGCTATTTTAGTGGGCACCTGTTCCCTGATTCAGAGTTTGATTTTATACTTTGTCATGATGCTTACTCAGCATCAGCAGGAAATAACTTTTGCCTCAGATGATGTGTGTGTGTGTGTTTGTGTGTGTGGTATTTTTGTTGTTGTTAATCCTCACCCAAGGGTATTTTTCCCACTGATTTTTAGGGAGAGTGGAAGGGAAAGGAAGACACACACAGAGAGAGAGATATCGATGTGAGAGAGACGCTTCAATTGGTTGCCTCCCACACACGCCCCAACTGGGGCTGGGGATTGAGCCTGCAACTAAGGTATGTGCCCTGACTGGAATCGAACCGTGACCCTTCAGTCTGTGGGCCGACACTGTAACCACTGTGCAAAGCTGGCTAGGGCAGATGATCTGGTTTTGAATTTCTACTTTGCCAGGTGGCATCATGACAAGTGCCTTAAACTCTCAGAGCCTCAGTTTCCTTATTTGCAAAAAAGGAGTCAAATGTGACCCCATATTGGGAAGCAAGCTGTCAATTCTGATGTGCTTTATAAATGCTAGATATTTCTGGAACCAATATTTTTTTAAAAATTATTTTTCGTGAAATCTCATTTGTTTTCTTTTTTGGGGGAGTACTTGTTCACTGGTGGTATTGATGATGTCCCTGTCTGTGCCATTAGCCTATTAAGAACATGATGGAGTTTTTTTTTCAGACATTTTGCTTGGCCTATGAGAATTGCTTAGCCTGTGTATATGCTTATTATTTACAACCAAGCCTCTTGCTATAATAACCCTGTGGTGTGCTGACATTTTACACTGATAATAGCAGGTAAACACATACGCTCTGCTCTTCATATGTGTTTGTCATTTGTCCTCACAATAGCCCTAAGAAGCAGGTACTGTGATGAGTTTTACATTTTCCTGAAGAGGAAACTGAAGTTAAGGAGTTTACATAATTTGTTCAAAGCCACATCACTAGTAATTGGTGAAGCAAGGATTCGAACCCAGCTCTGTCTGAATCTAGAAGTTGAGTTCCTAACTAGTGTACTGTAGGCTTCAGTAGAAAGTTGTATTTTGTTGCTAGTGATGGGTGAGGAAATGGTCACATCACTTCCATTTTTTGTTTGCACTTCTGAGATCACTGAATGGAGGAAGTCTCTGTGGCCAGTAAAAGTGCAGAGCAGGTGAAAGGCTCCATCTGATGTATTTATAACATCACAGTGTGTGGAGAATGGATTTGAGTGCAGAAAGAATAGAAGCAGGGTGACCAGCTAGGACAATGATGGCGAACCTTTTGAGCTCGGCGTGTCAGCATTTTGAAAAACCCTAATGTAACTCTGGTGCTGTGTCACATATAGAAATTTTTTGATATTTGCAACCATAGTAAAACAAAGACATATATATATATATATATATATATATATATATTAAATATATTTTATTGATTTTTTACAGAGAGGAAGGGAGAGAGATAGAGAGTTAGAAACATCGATGAGTGAGAAACATCGATCAGCTGCCTCCTGCACATCTCCCACTGGGGATGTGCCCGCAACCCAGGTACATGCCCTTGACCGGAATCGAACCTGGGACCTTTCAGTCCGCAGGCCGACGCTCTATCCACTGAGCCAAACCGGTTTCGGCAAGACTTATATTTTTGATATTTATTTTATATATTTAAATGCCATTTAACAAAGAAAAATCAACCAAAAAAATGAGTTCGCATGTCACCTCTGACACGCGTGCCATAGGTTCGCCATCACTGAGCTAGGAGGTCATGACAATAGTCCAGGAGAGAGGGGGTGGGGGCTTGGACAAAGGTAGTAGTAGCCATAAAGATGGAGAGAAGGGGACAGTTTTTAGATTTATTTTGGAGACAGAGTCAACAGGACTTGCTAATGGATTGATGTAAGACGTGAAAGAGTAGAATCAAGGATAAACCCTAGATTTTTGGCTTGAGCAACTGATTCCTCTGATGGGAAGATAGAGAAGAGCTTATTTGTGTGTGTGTTGGGGGGGGGGGGGATCAAGAGTTCTATTTTGGACCTGTTTGCATACACTATAAGACATTTATGGTGAGACTTGAATGATGAATAAGATCTCAACAAGACGGGAAGGAAGAAAAGACATTTTAGAAGGAACAGCCCAAGCTTAGCAAGTGCATAGAAGAGGAGGGAAAGATACCTTGTTAGCTTATTGTGGCTGGAGCATGTCTGAGAGGGGAAGAGTAGAAAGAAATTATGATGAAAAATCTAGAATGCTTTCTTTTACACATTTATCCTTACTAGAACCCAGTAAGTGGAATGAATAGGAAGAAATGAATTCATTATATTATTTGATAGAAGGTGAGTTATTTTCTACAGTTGATATACCAAGAATTCTTGTCACAAATAAAATGGCAGCCACCAAACGGTAATGTTACCTCATTGACTATTTTGGCAGCGCTCTGTGCAGGGCCCGCTCTCAGTCCAAACCACTTGTGTAGCACCTGCTGTGCAGACAAGGAGGGCTCAGCTGGCAGCTGCTCCATCCTTTAGTTCAGCCATTCTCAATCCTACTAGACCTAAGATCTTCTTTTGGTAGTGAGTATTTTGTAGCATCCTCTTACCATATTGAAATACTAGTAAATATTAATAGTTAATAGAACCAACTTATACAAATCACAGTATTTGAACTGTAATATAAAGGAGAAATGAAAAGAAAGTGATTTAAAATAAAATGACATGCATATCAGCATGTGAATGTTGAGCATAGTGAAGTATTTAGATGTGATGTGATTTTCAAAATGCCAAAAGGATCTCAGTAAAGATCCAAACAGCAAAGTACAGTTTTTCCTTAATGTACACAGTAACCGCATTCCTGAAAATCCAGTGTATTTTAAAATTGTGCAAAAAAGTGCTTTGTGTTTATATGTAACAGTTAGGTTCCAGGCTCTGATAGTCATAAAATAGCTTCTCACTTGGAAGAATGTCTGGCAGGATGTTAGAAGGTTGTGCAGGAGTGTCTTGAGCATTGCAGGGGCTGTTAACTCCCCTGGTGTTGGCACCAGCTCAGCTCTGCTCTGAGCCACTGGGACATTAGCATCCCTATGAACACATCGAACTCCAGTCTGCACTGTATCTTTTGCATGAACAGGGCATTGTCTGCCTTATTCCTATTCTACCCTTAGGCCTGGCCCATGGTATGTCATTAGAAAACATTTGTTGAGCCGAAACCGGTTTGGCTCAGTGGATAGAGCGTCGGCCTGCGGACTGAAAGGTCCCAGGTTCGATTCCGGTCAAGGGCATGTACCTGGGTTGCGGGCACATCCCCAGTAGGAGATGTGCAGGAGGCAGCTGATTGATGTTTCTCTCTCATCGATGTTTCTAACTATCTCTCTCCCTTCCTCTCTGTAAAAAATCAATAAAATATATATATAAAAAAATTTTTTTTTAAAAAAGAAAACATTTGTTGAAGGAAAGAATGGATGGATGGATGGATGGATGGATGGGTGGATGGAAAGAAATTTTCCTCTTTGTTCTGTTTTGTAGAACAACCCTTTAGATAGTGTTTTATCTCTGTCAGGACGTGGGGAGGGTTTTGAAACTTGTCCATGAGATAAAAAGTAGTAGAAGTCATCTGAGTCTTGAATAACAGGTACTGCATTCAAAATGTCTATTTTTATCTGTGTGCCTTCTCTGCTATCACCTATCTAAGCTTTTATTTTGTTAAACTTGGGATGTAGATACATCATTTTTCAGAACATAAATCTACTTCTGACTTTTCTTCTTCCTTCCTAGTGTGGGAAGAGTTGGCCTACTATGAAGAAAACACACGGGAATTTCTTTTTCCTGAGCCCAAGCTGACACCTTCGATCCCTGGCATAGGTAGGGAGGTGCTCATGAAAACGGCTGCAGGTTTTCCAGTAAGTGATCTATGCCCAGCTGGCTTCTGTTGGAAAAGCAATTCTTAGGACCTGAGCATTTTATTCCTAATAGGGCTTGCTCTTGGACTGATCACTTTATCTTGGTCAGTACCCCTGTTAATTCTGTTTAGCAGTCTTGTTTAGATGTCCCACTCGGAATGCCAAATTACACTGATTCCTATTATTGATCTGGGAAGTGGGAGTTTTACCTAATTTGGCTAAATCATTGCCATATTCACACTGTCACATAATTATAAGGATGATTTTTTTTTTTACCTCCTCTGAATGCAGATTAGCTGAAAGATTTTGCCAATTTAATTACAGCTATTATTTTAGCAATAATAAAAGTAGATAGGGTAGTAATAGTAATAATGCTCCTTCTCATTTATTTTGCCCATTGGTTTTTCATATGATATCTTATTTTCCTCGTAACAGTTCTCAAGTGAGCTGAGGCAGATACTATGGCCTCCACTTAATGGAGGGGAAACTGACAGAGGTTCACTGACTGGTACTAATGAGGGATATTAAAAGATAGGGCAGTTATTCAGTCAATAACCTAATAGTTTGGGGGCATTATCTGAACCCAAATTTGAATATTCATTTTGATGTTGTCTGTGATAATTTCTGACTCTGCAGCAACTCTGTTGTTGGAATGCCTGGGTTCAGTAACCAGGTTTGCCATCATTAGCTGGACAAGTTACTCTCTGTGTCTTAGTTTCCTCCTCTACAAAGTATAGATACTGGATATTACTAGTACCCACTTTATGGGGTTGTTTTGAGGATTAGATGAGTTACTATATGCAAAGCACTTAGGTCAGGGCATATAATACAATTTATGTAAGTGTTTAGGTATTCTTATTAAATATATTTTATTTTTCATCTTTATTGCTAATTGAAAAATAAAAATTGTATCCATTTAGAGTGTACAACTTGATGTTTTTCTGTATATCTACATTGTGAAGTAATTGCCACACGCTAATTACCATATCCATCATTCACTGTTACTAGTTACCATTTTCTTTTCTTTTGTGATGAGAACACTTAAGGTCTACCTTCTTAGAAATTTCAAATATACAATATAGTATTGTTAACTATAGCCACATTGCTGTACATTAGATCCCCAGAATTTATTCATCTTGCATAATGAGACATTGTACCCTTTGACCAACATTTACCCATTTCCCCCATCCTCCAGCCCCTGGCAACCAGCATTATACTTTCTGCTTCTGTGAGTCTGACTATATTAGATTCCCTATATAAGTGAGATAATACAGTATTAATTTTTTTGTGTCTGGCTTATTTCACTTAGCATAATGTCTACCAGGTTCTTCTATGTTGTTGAAAATGGTAAGATGTCCTTCTTTTTAAAGGCCGAATAATATTTCATTGTGTACATATATTTGTTATGTGCATATTTTAGATAATGAATATGGATAATGCCAACCACACAAAAGAGCAATTAAATTCTTGCACAATTTCAAATTAGGATGAGATAGGCAAGAAAACTGTTTCTAGTAATTTTGTTTGCTTCTTTTATGCTGTTTTATTTTTAGGGTATTGCTCCAAAAATAGAGTTTTCTACAAGGACAGCCATCAGAGAATGTGTGTTTCTGCATAGAAACAGATTTCTTGTAAGTATAATCAAGAAGCCAATAATAGAAATGTCAGGAATTTTCTCCACAAATTTAAAGAGCTCAGTTTACCAAGTTTAGGTGCAACTGGATAAATAAAAACCTGGAGACTTATTGCTAGTTTTGAACTTATTCAAACTATTCACTCTGCCTGTCACATTAGACTGAGCATGTTTGGCACATATTCATCAAGGTTTAGTTGGTGGAGCAGAATGATCTAGGGTTAAGATCACAAGTTTGATGTGTAAACTAGCTTTTTTGGTTGTTGTTTCGTGACTTTTATTCTTTTTTGTCACTGTTGTTAATCCTTACCCGAGGATACTTTTCCATTTCTGGAGAGAGTAGAAGGGAGAGGGAGAGACAGACAGAGAGACATCGATTTGAGAAAGATACATCGATTGGTCACCTCCTGCAAGTGCCCCAACCAGGGCTGGGATCGAGTCTGCAACTGAGGTACATGTCCTTAACTGGTATCGAAGCCGGGACCTTTTAGTCCATGGGCCAACACTCTATCCACTGAGCCAAACTGGCTAGGGCAGTGGTCAGCAAACTCATTAGTCAACAGAGCCAAATATCAACAGTACAACGACTGAAATTTCTTTTGAGAGCCAAATTTTTTAAACTTAAGCTATATAGGTAGGTACATTGTTATTAACTTAATTAGGGTACTCCTAAGGCTTAGGAAGAGCCACACTCAAGGAGCCAAAGAGCTGCATGTGGCTCGCAAACCGCAGTTTGCCGACCACGGGGCTAGGGCAATGACTTTTATTCTTGATCGTATGAACAGTAGTGTTTCCTTCTTCCTTATGCTGAAGCTGAAGCTCAGAGTTGTATTCATGGCCATCGTTGGTAACCGTGAAGGGTCTTGGGCATCCATAAGCACCAGCTCTATTTCCCTCTCTTGTTCAGTCCTAACTTCCCCTTCACTCTGATTTATTTCCATGTTTCGTTTATCTTATTGTACACAAATTTTGTAACCCTTTAAAGTCCTTTCTAGAACAGTATGGAAGTGAATCAATGTAATTTGTAAAGCTTCTTTAAATACTTGTCATCCTAAATCTTGCCTGATCCTCTAGAACAGTGGTCAGCAAACTGCGGCTCGCGAGCCACATGCGGCTCTTTGGCCCCTTGAGTGTGGCCACGAAGTTTCAATCGCACTGTACGTGCGCGCCCACACATGGTATTTTGTGGAAGAGCCACACTCAAGGGGCCACAGTTTGCCGACCACTGCTTAAAAATGTGGGCTGTGGATACTGAATGACAAGGGTCTGTGCAAATCCATCAATCCTGTGGGCATTATAACTCCTATAATTGGAGACCAATGATTACTTTTAAGGAAAGCATTAGCTGCTTTTTAGTTTTTCTTTCTTTATCCACTACTTTCTTCAATCTGTTGGATATGTGCACAGTGAGTTTTTCAATCTTTTTTCTTTAAAACCTCCTAATATATATCTTCATTTTAAGCCTTAACTTTTAAAAGTGGTATCTTTTATTCTTTCTTATAACAGAAGTATCCCACTTATTTTGAAAAATTATAAAATAGGAATAAGCAAAAGGACAGAAAAATTATGTTATTCTTACTATCTAGAGATGATATGACTAATTTTCGAGTATAGTCTGCTATACAACACACTTTTATTTTAAGAAATTAGCATCAGACTATTTTATACCCTTTCTTTTTTACTTAATATACCATGCACAGGTCCTGATGTCCTTAAGTACTTTTATACCAGGCCAATCTTCATGGCTTCATTGTATGTATGCCATTGCACGGTAGCACCATAATTTGTTTGGCCAATCATTTTCCTATTGTTGGGCACTTAGCTGACATGTCACAGTCCAGTCAGGAAAACAAACCACACATGTTATTTTAACAGAAAGATTTAATGTAAATAGGGGATGGGATGCTGAGAGGTAAAGGGTAACACTGAAGTGATGGGGATAGTGACCGCAGGAAGCTGCTCCACCCCTAAGGCTGAGGAAACAAAGGGAAGAGCATGGAAGCTTGAGGAAGAGAACCCATAGGAAGGGGACCCCATAGCAAAGGGACGCTGGGGAGAGGCTGCCTTCCTGGGTGCTTCTTCAGGAAATCAAAGGTAGGACTTCGATGAGCTGGGACTCAGACCTCTAAGGAGGGACACTGCTCATTGCTGGTGCCTCGGATTCCATGGGGCGAGATTCAAATCCCTGAGTGCTGGAACGCCTGAGGGGGGCACAGTGAGACTAGTTCCGGGATTATTGGAGTGGGGAGAACTATGAACTGGAACCATTTGCTGTTGCTAAGGTGAAGAATGGTTGCTGGGGTGATGCTGTCAGGAATAGAATGCAAAACTGGAAGTGGCCAGCTCTGTCTTCCTGATTCTGCCTTGCAGTCTCCCTCTGGTGCTTTCTGGTGGTAGAGCCTAACAATAGCTGGAAAAGCATAGGGGTTTGCAGAGTGCCAGCCCTCCTATCATGAAGCTGGGTATAGAAAGGTGGGTTTGGGAGCTGAAAGACACTTGCTTACTCACCATTCACCAATGTGGTTGGTTTCTCACTTTGGAACTGTTATATAAGAGTTTTTTTTTTTTTAGCTAAATACATAGCCATAATTATTTCCTTATAATAAGTTAATTGAAGTTAAATGCCTGGATCCAAGTATATGCCTGTTCTCTTTCTCTCTCAATCTCAATCTCAATTTCAATATCTCTTGATGTCTTTCTATCGATCAATCATCTATCTATAACTGGGGGAAGTGTCTGATACTTTCCAACTGTCCCCTAATGCAAATAAATCTCACTGGTATTTGAAATATAGCATACTGGTGAGTTATAAATACTAGTGATGTTAAGCTGAACTGAAGAAAAATTAAGTAGAGAAATGCCCTTCCTTGAGTTCCTATTTTATAAGTCTAAGGTGTTCAGTCTTCTACCTTAGTTAACAAAGTTCAATTAAATGCAGTAATATTCTGCTTGAATTCCCCCCCCCCCCCCCCCCCGCTTTTTGTTTTTAAAGGAATTGTTTCTCTTTTTGGTTCTAGGAAGAAATGTTTAAGTCACGAAGGCCTTTATTTACATCATATGGACCAACATTCCCCTTAAAAAATAAACATATGAAGCGAAGAGAAATTAATCTCAACAGATTGCCCCAATGCGTACAATTCTGGGAGCCCTCTCCATATTCTACCAGACGTTTCTTCCAGGACCAAACAGCTCAACTGAACCTTGGAAATAATTTCAAAATCCCTGGAGAAAGCAAACCTCCATTTGTAGTTAGACATGTGAGCCTAAAATTATTTATCAGAGTTCTTTGGGATGGTGAGGTTGTGAATGAGTTCAGAATACAAGAAGTTTGCAGTATAAAAATAATTGGGTAATATTAAAAAGGGAATTCAAACTGAATAGTAATGATGATTAAATTATGTTATCTTTCTAGAGTCATATTCAGGAAGCTCCTATAGAGATGTCTTGTACAGAGGATTTGCTCAGTAAATGTCAGCCATCCCTGTGTTTGATTTTCGAAAATTATTGAGTGTGATGTCTACACATGGCAACTCACCATTTATCCAGAAGAAATCAGTGAACTGATGGGTGCAAGACACATCCAAAGGCTGGCATATACTCTGTACAATCTAAAACTAAAGTTTCATCAGTTTTAAAGGAAACTGCTTGAGTTTTTTAAATAAGGTTGTTGCTCATTAGCCATACTTTAAAGAGCAGGGGAAAAAATGTATCTGCAGGAAGAAGCAATGATGTGTCATATTCAAAACCCTTGATCAACCTTCAGGGAGAAGTGGGCAAATTTAATAACATTAGTTCTTTTAGTCTCCTTAATTTTTTTTTAACCATTATAAAAGTAATGGAAAATACAGAAATGTTCAAAAAAATTACCCATAGGTTCACCAGTATAATAAAAATAAATAAGTATTTAATTTAATGCATTTTCTTTAATCTTTTTAATATTCATAAGACTCTTTTTCCTACAAAGTCGTAGTATATACAGATTAGTTTCTCAACATATACAATTAATATTACATTAAAAGCATTTTTTATTATTTGCTATTCTTCATTAACATCAGTCCATGTTCTAGTTCATGACTTATTCTCCAGTCGTTCTTATAACTCCAGTAGTTAACTGTTGATAATGTAAAGTTGATAATTTGACTTAAAGTCACTAGTGGTGATGTTTGTGTATTTGACACAAACCTGTTTGCAGATCATGTCCCATTTATGAAAATATGTTCACTTAAGTAAAATAATGTAGTCACCACTATCCTTTTTTTCAAGGGTATAGACACTCAGATTGGTCTGGAACAGCCGTGGGCAAACTACGGCCCGCGGGCCGGATCCAGCCCGTTTCAAATGAATAAAACTAACAAAAAAAGACCGTACCTTTTTATGTAATAATGTTTACTTTGAATTTATATTAGTTCACACAAACACTCCATCCATGCTTTTGTTCCGGCCCTCCGGTCCAGTTTAAGAACCCATTGTGGCCCTCAAGTCAAAAAGTTTGCCCACCCCTGGTCTGGAATGTGAAAGACTGAACTGTGTGACCTTGTGATAATTCTCAGGCTAGCACTGCCCAGTCTGTTCGGGAACATGAAACTCTGTCCTGTTTTTATTTATTTATTTATTTATTTGTTTGTTTGTTTATTTATTTATTAGTATTACAGCTATCTTTCATCACCGCCCCCCCCCCCCCCTTACCTCCCTTGTCCTGTTTTAAAAGAATGCAAAATTAGCTTCACTTGGTCTCTTCTGGGCTTGACTTACCAGTGGTTAGGATGTAACTCGTGCCCATCGTTATTTTTAAAAAAATATATATTTTATTGATTTTTCTACAGAGAGGAAGGGAGAGGGATAGAAAGCTAGAAACATCGATCAGCTGCCTCCTGCACACTCCCCACTGGGGATGTGCCCGCAACCAAGGTACATGCCCTTGATCGGACTCGAACCTGGGACCCTTGAGTCCACAGGCTGACGCTCTATCCACTGAGCCAAACCAGTTTGGGCCCATCGTTATTTCTTTTTTTTCTTTATTTTTTTTTTTCGTTATTTCTTTATGCTAACATTTAGCCCAGGGGTGGGCAAACTTTTTGACTCGAGGGCCACAATGGGTTCTTAAGCTGGACCGGAGGGCCGGAACAAAAGCATGGATGGAGTGTTTGTGTGAACTAATATAAATTCAAAGTAAACATCATTACATAAAAGGGTACGGTCTTTTTTTTGTTAGTTTTATTCATTTCAAACGGGCTGGATCCGGCCCACGGGCCGTAGTTTGCCCACGGCTGATTTAGCCCATCTCTTCGTGTTAGCCTTAGTGAAGAGAGGGACAAACAGCTTCCCCCTATCGGGACCACATGTAACGTACATTGAGCCTGAGATTTAATTTGTTCCCAACTTTCTTTTCTCACTTGCATGACTGACGGGGAGAAAGGCATTACAGGTAATGTGGAGAGGGTAATACAAGCCACGGTGGGTTTACGTCTTATTTCTCTCCTTTTCTTTCAGGTGGACAGTGCAAAGCCCTTTGGTGAGGATATTTCAGAGCATTATTCTCCGAAGTCTAGAAGAAAATCTAAGTTTCCAAACTTTCCCTTTCCCATGAGAAGAGGTACTCAAGTTTCTTGTTATTCCTGTGTATTTCTCTATGGGAGCAAATGCATCCTACTTCTAAATTTTTCATTCTGTGGAATGTTTTCTTTGGAAACTTGGAGTTTAATTCTCAAGTACTCTCCAGCGGTGGAGTTTCCAGGGAAGGAGTTCCTACTGAGCAGAGTCAGCAGAGAAGCTGTTTCAGAAGCTGTTTCACCAGGGCACCCACTGTGCTCTGGTTGCGTTCATTTCCTGGCTGGGCTGGAAAAGCAGAGAGCAGTTTATTCTGGTGTGAACTTCTTGCAAATGCACCACTAATAGCCAACAGATAAGACTCGCCCTTTCTGTGGATGGGAAAGAGCAGGGGATTGGTGATCAGAAGAGTGTATAACACTTGCTTTACAAGATTCCATGTTAGCGAGGAGGGGAGCCAACTCTATCTGAAGCAGTTAGATTAAGGCAGGGGATCGCAAACTGTCAGGTGTCAGGACCCTTTTGCATTCTTCTTTTAAAAAATGTTTTTATTGACTTGAGAGGAAGAGGGAGGGAGGGAGAGAGGGGGGGAGAGAGAGAGAGAGAGAGAGAGAGGGAAAGAAATATTAATGTCAGAAAAAAACATTGACCTATTGCCTTTCCCACAAACGGTGACTGGGGATCAAACATAAAACCTGAAACCTGGGCATGTGCCTTGACCAGGAATTGAACTGTGACCTCCTGGTTAATAGATCGATGCTCAACCACTGAGCCATGCCAGCTGGGCTAAAGGTTTATACTTTTTTGGCGGGGGGCGGGGGGGGGGGAGGTGGCGGTTAATCCCACCCGAGGATATTTTTCCATTGATTTTTAGGGAGAGCAGAAGGGAGAGGGAAAGACAGAGAAAAAACATCCATGTGAGAGAGACATGTTGATTGGTTGCCTCCTGCATGCACCCCCGACCAGGGTCAAGGTACGTGCCCTTGACCAGAATCGAATCTGGGAGTCTTCAGTTTGAGGGCTGAGGCTCTATCCACTGAGCCTAACCGGCTAGGGCTAGAGCTGTACCATATACGTTTTTTAAAAATATATTTTTATTGATTTTTTACAGAGAGGAAGGGAGAGGGATAGAGAGTTAGAAACATCGATGAGTGAGAAACATCAATCAGCTGCCTCCTGCACACCCCCTACTGGGGATGTGCCCGCAACCAAGGTACATGCCCTTGACTGGAATCGCATGGCATGTACCTTGGGACCCTTCAGTCCGCAGGCCAACGCTCTATCCACTGAGCCAAACTGGTTAGGGCTACCATATACTTTTAAAGGGCTGCACAGATTCTTATGGTAACTCAAGCCAGTGTTCGTGGATCACAGTGACTGCTTGAACACAGCCAACCAAGGACAGAGTACAATTTGACGCAGAAAGTGCTTTATCACCTCTGACATTTAATTTAAGTCCTTTGGTTTGAAATCACCTGGGTAGCCTATAAAGGCAGCGCTGCCTTCCCTATTACTGGGAAATCAAGCAACAGCAAATGTCCTTTCCCAGAGAGGACACCTTGGGCTTAATGCTGGCCCAATTATGATAGCACTCATACATCACATTGGTCTCGGCCTTTATCTGTTCTTAATCCTGGCAGGTGGAGATGTAAGGTTCCAGAGAGGTTACAGAATGTGTACTGGTCACATACCAAGTTTTTGGCAAACCTACATTTAGAAAAGACGTTCAGACCTCTGGGCTCAGATCCTGTAGCTTCCAAGCCAGACCTTTGCTTAGGACACTGTCAGCTCATTCATCCAGGCCTAAGGTAGAATAAAGCAGTGCTTCTCAAATTTCATTGTGCATTTGAATCACCTCGGGATCTTGTTAAACTGCAGATTCTGACTCAGAGGGGTTGGGGTGAGGGCCTGTGATCTTTCTTTTCTAACAAGCTTTCAGGTGATTCAGCTATCACTGGTCCATGGACTGCATTTTGAGAAGCAAAGGAACAAAGGCAAGCCCCCTGGGGAAGTGAGCCTCAACATCAGGCACAGGGGACTCTAGGGCAGGTTTGTGGCTATAGCTGGAAAGGGCCTTAGCACTGCTGATTCCCTGCTCAGCTGGAGAAGAGAGCTTCTGGGACAAGGGGGACACACACATACATGCACGCCCAGAGGATGTGACAATTGCCAGGCTTTAAAATCCCCTTTTATAGCTTCCTTTTTACTGCCAGCGGCACAAGGGGAATCAGCAATTCAGGAAAAGTTACTTGTCACTGCTTAGGCCCCAGTCATGGGGGGCGAGTGGAGGGGCAGCGGCAGCGGAGGGGTGGTGGGGTGGTGGGGTGGTGGGGAGAGCATGGTGGCCATAGCATGGCCTTGCAAATACTCATTTCAAAAGCATTTCTTTTTTCTCAACCTGGAAAAACCAGTTTAATCTTGGTTTCGTCGATGTATATTAATATATTCACTTTCTAGTCCTTCTTACCATTCTCTGGCATTAGATCTATTTACGTTTTATGAGTATTTAGGGTAATCCTAATGATTTATACTTTTGCTGCATCGTGTTTCTGCAAGCTCTTGCATATCCATTGTCTCAACCTAACATTTATGTCTACCTTGGACAAGTATACTTAAGAATTTCTGCATAAATAAGATTCCACGGAAACCAAATGTGAAGGGAATGGCAGAAGAGGAGGAGTCTATGCATTTTATGTTTGAGCCACACGGCTTTCTTGTAGGCTCTGGGCACCTGAGCAAATACGAGTTTTCCAGGCTGTTGAAGGGTTACTGAACTTACTGCTTCACTTTAGACTCTCTTTTACCCTTCCCGTAGCCATGCGTGCTATGGGAAGTCATGGATAATATAACCTCATTGTTGAGCTCAGGAGGACAGAAAAACTCGGAGAGTTGCTGTGACTCAAGGGAGTTTTAAAAGTGATAGTGTAACTTACAAGGGAGCATTTACTAGTAAGTGCTATCATAATTCATTCATTGTGTAATATTTTTGTACTGCTGTGGAATAAGTGTAACAGCAGTTTTTAGGGGTAACTGATAATAATGAGTCATTGAATCACCTGTTCCTCTTTCTTCTAGCTTCTTCTCTTGACAGCCTTGCAGCTAACGTAAAGGTAATTTTAGAAGTAGCATTAGTAAAATAACTTATTTCCAGCTATCTAATGTTAATTACTGTGCTTCCGCCAAGGAGTGGTGAAAAGTATACTTCTAGCCAGTGCTGCTTATGGAATTGCTATAGTTAAATTGGAGTTTAAAATGTGCCCTGGCTCCACTGTCTGCTTTGCTTCCACTTGTTTGTTCCCTCATAAACACTTTTCTTTTTCATCTGTGGGATGAATCAGGAGTGAGGGCATATGTAGGCCCAATACCTACTTTTTTTTTTTTTTTTTTTTTTTAAATATATTCTATTGACTTTTCACAGAGAGGAAGGGAGAGAGACAGAGAGTCAGAAACATCGATGAGAGAGAAACATCGACCAGCCGCCTCCTGCACATCTCCCACTGGGGACGCGCCCGCAACCCAGGCACACGCCCCCGACCGGAATCGAACCCGGGACCCCTCAGTCCGCAGGCCGACGCTCCATCCACCGAGCCAAATGGGTCAGGGCCCAATACCTACTTTTATCAGTAGGATTTTCATTGCTTTTTCTCTAATCAAATACTTTTATACATAGTGGTGATAAATCGCTTGTTCTTGAAGTTTGATTGGCTTGTCCAGGTGAAGAGGTAAAGTTCTGTATTAAATGGATATATGCAAAGAAAACGGAGTATACTGTGCTTCTTACGCCAGAGCATTTAAATATTTTGTTTAAAAAGGTAATCTTCCTAGCGGGTAAAAAAAAAGGAAGGAAGAAAGAAAGAAAGAAAGAAAGAGAGGAAGGAAGGGAGAAAGAAAGAAAGAGAGGAAGGAAGGGAGAAAGGAAGGAAGAAATCTTTCCCAAACCCAGTAATCTCCAGGCCTCCCAAATTTAAGTTCAGAGCATGAATTTATTGTGGCTTGTTAACTCATGCCTGACATAGAGAATTTTAGTTGTCGTTCCTTGACCTCTGCTCCTGAGCATTTGTCTTTAGTCTTCTCTGCACACCCCCATCCCAGGGCAGGTATTCTATCTTGCTCACAATTCTCTTCCTTGTCCCACCCAACCCCAGCTTTGAATTAAGCAAACAAAAGCAAAACTATAACTAAAAAATAATGCACATTGTCACACAGGTTATCAAAGAGCCAGATGAACGGATTTTTTTAAGGCATCAGTCACCATCACCGTTATGTCCGAGAAAGTTTAGAAAGCCCTCGCCCAGTTACAGTAACCAAGGGGATGCGGATTTCCACCTGGGAACTTCATTCGCCACCTCCCGGCACTGCAGATCTCCCAGCCCCCCTCTGGATCAGTCCCGTCTCCGGGGAAGGTCAGCGGCAAGCGCCCGTCTCTTTGCTTGAAGAGTGTCTGTGTTCTGGCAGGAGTCACGCCAGGCCACCTCACCAGTTTGCTTCCTCAGGGATATTCAGCTGGGGACACCTTGATCTAAAAAATTATTATTTCTTTAAACGTCTTCCCCAAAGTAAAAATTCTGCCTTTCTCTTGCCTCTGGAAAACATATCTCAGGATGTTTGTTGGGAATGGGATAGACAGCTAACTTGACATAAGTGCTATTTATCTATCCATTTTTAGATGTTATGCATTTTAAAACTCAATCTTTTGATTTCACCAGTATAACAGTAGTGTTCACTATTTAAATTTAGGAAATTACAGAAAAAAATAAGTGAAAAAAAATCACCCATAGTCCTGTCACCTAAAGACAAACATTAACAACACGTGAATATGTTTTCTTTCTCTTTTTCTAGACATGGTTTCCTGGTTTGTTTATATTATTGTTACAAATTTTAAAAACTGTGATTGCATATGTCCGGAGGGCAGGCCAGAGAGGAACAGGAACCTTGATTTTTCCAAATTGCACTCTCTAATCTCATGATTAACCATCCGGTTTGCCCAGGACTGTCCTGTTTTAACCCTGACAGTCTGGCATTCTGGGGAAACCCCTTAGTCCCAGGCAAACCAGGACAGTTGATCACCTTCGCGCCAGGGAAGTGGCACCAAGGATAATATTAGTGAGGTAGTGGTTTTGAATAAAGGATATGCAGTCTGCTTTACTCTGCAATATTAGTGATGAGAATAAGGTAAGTCCTTATATCACAATAACACAGTTGCTCACAAAGGAACTCAGTAAGTATCTCTAAACAAGATTTTCATAATCTATTTGCCAATTCTGCTTCAGAACTTAGGAGTTCATACCCACCCCCTCCCAAAAATGAATGAATGAATTCAATCACCCAAGAAATATTTATTAAATACCTACCATGATATTCAATACCTATGAGGCCCTAGGACAGTGATGGCGAACCTATGACACACGTGTCAGAGGTGACACGCGAACTCATTTTTTTGTTTGATTATTTTTTGTTAAATGGCATTTAAATATATAAAATAAATATCAAAAATATAAGTCTTTGTTTTACCATGGTTACAAATATCAAAAAATTTCTATATGTGACACGGCACCAGAGTTAAGTTAGGGTTTTTCAAAATGCTGACACGCCGAGCTCAAAAGGTTCGCCATCACGGCCCTAGGATGAACTATTAACCTAAGAGTTTCAGTCCCAATTTCAGGCTAGGAGAAGAAAGAGACATTAATCAAATAATGACAAAATATCCACTAGGAGAAGTGCTATCAGTAAGGGGCAAATGAACTCAAAGTGCATAAAATAGAGAAGCGGACTCTCTCTACATGAAGGGTATCAGGAAGGATTTTCCAAGAAATCTTGAACTGAGCTCTGAAGGGTGGGTAGGAGTTACAGGAGTGGGGATGGGCTGGAGGTGACAGCCTTCTAGGCAGAGCCAGCAGGGCTGGGAAATGTCTCCAGAAGGAGAAAGTGCTTCATGTTCGAGGAACTGGAAGATGCTGTAAGACCTGTGGTTAAGGTTGGGTCTGATTGGCCTAAAGTCAGTGAGATAGCAAATAAAATTCTGAAGGTGGAAAACAATGGGATTAAATTTGGCATTAAAATTTTTGGATTAAATTCTTAAATGTCAAAGCAAGATTTGTTCTTTAGAGAAATATCTAAAACACATAGTAAAGGATGAAGAGGAAAGTCACTCACAGCCATACTCCCAAACACAAGCCATTCTGGACACCGTGGTGGTTTTTATTCCCAGTGATGGTCTATGCACAGGTTTAATAAAGACATTGAAACCACACTGTACACTATTTTTCATGGTGCTGCATTTTTCTTACTATTAAGTTATAAACATCAACCCATACTGTTATGTACTTTAACTACCCTTTTGTTAAAACAATATATATTTCATTGACTTTTTACAGAGAGGAAGGGAGGGGGATAGAGAGGTAGAAACATCAATGAGAGAGAAACATCGGTCAGCTGCCTCCTGCACACCCCTTACTGGGGATATGCCCACAGCCAAGGCACATGCCCTTGACCGGAATCGAACCTGGGACCTTTCAATCTGCAGGCTGATGCTCTATCCACTGATCAAAACCGGTTAGGGCTCTAACTATCCTTTTTATTAGCTGCATAATACTTCACCCTGTTTAATTTGTCCAGCAGGTTCCACCCTGGATCTCAGTCCCCATGGAAGAAGATCCATGGAAGGGTATGCAATCTTCTGACATCGCACAGAGCTCGGCAACACCTAAACAAGGTTAGGGCTTCTAGCAAAACTACATCTTTGCTGACAGAATAAGATGGGCCCTGGGACTTAAGCGTTTAGCATGGGAGGCAGACATGGACCAAGTAATCACAGAAATAAATGTAAAATTCTGTGACACTGACCAAGGAGGTACACGGTGTCCTGGGAGTGTAAGAAAAGGGGTACTTGACTTGGTTGGGAGTCAGGGTGGGCTTCCTGCAGAAGAGACAGTGGAATACCTACTGAGCAATGAGCACAGTGTGCGTCAAGAGGAGGTCCTGCAGCAGGAGGGAGCAGGGGCCTTTCAAAGGACTAAGAGAAGACAGTGTAACTGGCCCCAAGCACATTCCCTCCCACCGGAATTCCATTCCCACACACAGGAGTTCTGGTCCAGGGGAGATCCAGAGAAGGGTGTGTGGTCTGTGTAAGGCCACAGCACGGAAGAAAAGTTTTCCTGAAAACTGTTGAACAAACTCAAAAAGAGTCTGGGGGACTCTTCCCCCTCCCTAAATGGGAGTCAGTTCTGTGGGACTCTTTCCCTCTCCCCATGTGGGAGTCTGTACTTATTCTTCAATAAATTTCCACCTTTGCTATAAAAAAAAAAAGAGAGTCTGGAGGTTTTGCTATAAGTAAATGATAGATTTATTCAAGGGTCCTAGAGTTTGCAAATTGGGAACACAGGAAGAAAGAAAGAAAGAAAGAAAGAAAGAAAGAAAGAAAGAAAGAAAGAAAGAAAGAAAGAAAGAGAAAGAAAAGAAAAAGTAAGGGGGGAAAAAGAAGTTACACTGAGAAGATAGTAACTGGAGTTTGCAAATTGTAACTTCTTCATATATGTGAACCCCACATATACAGTGTATATGGGATTCATAGACCTCTTAAATGCAAAACTATACATCTTGTTATCATTGATCTATATTACATTATGAATAATGCAATTGCTGCATTTGTTTTGTTATAGGAAGATTTTATCTCTGACGTAAATTATACCCTTGAAAGACCAAGCTACCCTCTGAAGAACTACCCAGTGCACGCACAGAGATATTTTTAAGCTGATGTCTTATGTAAGTAAGCAGCTTAAGTGCTGCTTATTATGGTTTTCTAAAATAATCTTAGTTTCCAGCAGTCAAAATGAGGTAACTAGAAAACGTTGTGGACAGGAGATGAGGGAGAGTCCTAAGAACCACATTTTCCCTTCACACAGTATAATAATGACAGAACATATGTGGGTCTGCCGGCTCTCTCTCTCTCTCTCTCTCTCTCTCTCTCTCTCTCTCTCTCTCTCCCTCCCTCCCTTCTTCTTTCAGCTCCTTGAACACAAGCTTTTTCTGCTGTGAGGCCTTTGCACATGCTTTTCTCGCTGTCTGGAATACTTCCCCCCCGCCCCCCCCCCACACTTTTTTTTGAATGCTTCTTCCCTATCCTACTTGGGTCACTTCTATTTATCCTTCGAGTCTCACGGTGTTCCATGACACTCCCTCCCCCTCTGAGGCATACCTTCTTCAGTGCCCTGCACTGTCATAAAGTGTGACACAATTTGTTGTTTTATGTTTATATGGTTTGATTGCTTAAAAGTCTGCCTCTTCTACTTAAGTGAAACCTGTCCCTCCTGCTCCCTGTTTCGTAGCCGGCATGTAGTGCACGACAATGGGATCTCATTTAACTCAGCCACACATGCCAGGCTTGTGGCCTCAACAAGACTCCCACTCCCACTCCCTACCTGCCGCTGTCTTTGTTTCAGATGACTCCACACTGTGGTTGGTGCTCAGTAAATATTTTTTGAGTGAAGGTTTAATGAGGGAATGAGGTAGCTCTAGAATTCAGGTAAGTGGCAAGTAGTTGGCTATAGAGTGGGTATTGTCATTTTTCAGGTATTCTCTTCTTTTCCATTTCCAGCCCAGGACCCAGATAACACTAGGTCTTCATTATCAAGTCCTCCCTGAGTGCCAGGAACTGGCCCCAATACTTCACATCTATTAAATGAGTTAACATTTAATCCTCACAATCCTGTGAAGTAATTATTATCACTACTTCCATTTTACAGATAGGGAAACTGAGGCCCAGAGCACTCAGGTGCCTTGCTCAAGGTGACATGGCTAGTGGATGGCACAGCTGGAATGTGAACCTGACTATGGGTCTGGCTTCAGTGCCCACGCTGTGAACCATTGCCTTCTAGTGCTTCTCCAAACCTCGAGTTGTGATGGGGAACCTGGGGAGAAAGACAAAGAGAGCCCTTTGGAACCCCAGGAGAGCTTGTCTCCCACAAGGATCCTATGGTGCTGTATCATGAAGTCCCTCATGCTAGCCACTTCAAAATAAGTACGAGTCTTTTTAAACAATAAAGGAGTGTAGGATGACATGCTAAGTTTTTACTTAGTTAGGGTCAGGCTCCCAGGGTTGGCCAGGACTCCCCGCCTTCAGCGCAGAGGAATGTGGAGGACAGCTCAGTAATTGCCTAGTCTGCAGGCTTCCACCTTAGGACGTTCTGCTTGGTAGATTAAAGGATGGATTCTGGGCCACTTAATGTCCCGTAGTCAAAACAGCCATCTAGGCATTTATTAGGTGGTTATTCGGAACATAACCCACATAATTACCACTTAGGGAACACGGCCACATAATTACCAAATGCCAGACTGCATCGAATTTCAACATAGGTGGTGGCATTGAGTTACAGAGTCCTGGAACAGCGGATATGTGCACACTGATGTAAGGGGATAGAGCGAAGGTGAGAAAAGAATTAGTAAATTCTGTCTTACAAAATGGGTTTCCCAGGTAACATGAGATCCATGCCAATGGCCTCTACCTCCGCTTGCTGGGTCATGGATGGGTCATGGATTCCTGGTGAGGCAGGGGGCCTGGAGGTTTTCATGCTTATAAAAAAACCCAGGTGGCTTTGACTGTCTTGAGCAAATAGAGCATTTATTAGAAAGATGCTGAGTATCACAGTGAATCCAGAGAAGACCCAAATAAGTAGGGCCAAGCAGCTAACGCTGGGCAGTCGCAGTCTCGTCACGAGTTGGGAATACAGTCCCGGAGAGGAGCACTCGGCAGAAGACCCGGTGGGCTTCCAGGGCACGCCTCCTTCCCTGCTGCTCTTTTACAAACAGTGCTGCACGAACATGCTACACGTCCTAATAGCCAATCCCTCCCACCCCAGAGTAAGCCTCTGGGTTCTCATCTCTGGAATGGAATGTTTTGTCAGACATTGCAAAATGATACTGTTAACAGAGAAGGTGCTGTCAGTATTCAGCTAACACACTGACTCAAGATACTAATATGCTTGATCAGTGATATCCCAAATTCTGCTTTGAACCTTTTTTTTTTTCCACTGAGGGCGCTCACATCCCACTTCCTGGCACCAGTCACTGAGGGATCGGAGGGCAGCACCAGTTCTCGTCCCTCTCCCACCTTCTCCACTTCTGCTGTTTCACTGGTGATCAGCCTGCCCTCTCCTGGTTTCCTAGTGATCTCAAGATTCGGGGGGAATTGAAAAAGTTGAGTCTTGCCACAGAAAGGCCAGGGATTCTTGAGCCAACAAATAATGAGCCCGATTGTCTGACCAGGGAATGGGTAGAGGAAAGGAGTCAAAGGGGTTGGAATATACTTCTTCTTATTCTGGATGGTTTGGGATTTGATATTTTTGGTATAAAGTAGATGATCCCTTATATATTTTTAAGTGGTTAAAATGGTGAACGTTG